AATATCTGATCTGCAGGATGGTCTTAGGTGACCCCTGTGACAGGGTCGTTTGACTCCCAAAGGGGTCGCAACCCACAGATTGAGAACCGCTGAGCTAGTCAGATTTTATTATATTTTTGTTGTTATTGTTAGTTGAAATTCACCAGGCATTTATTATCTGCCGAGTGCTGTGCTAAGCGCTTTATATGAATTGTCTGGATGTACGTTTGGGGAATAAACCCATAGGAGCTAGTATTAGGAAGCCATTTCTGCTATTGTCTGAGAGGAGACCACTGCGATTTTCTTATTTGAAAAAGATGAAAGAAGGCAGGTATTTTTGCTCCACTTAGGAAATATCTGATAAAATACTATTTCTTATTTATGAATTTGCTACAGCTGAGCACATCATGGAACAGAGTAAATCCCAGTATTACAAAGAATGAAGTGACCTTGACCGGACAGAAAGGCTCACCTCAAGGGCAACAATTCATCAGTTGCTCCAGAAGCAACTTTGTCTTGGTTTGAATGGATTCGCCATTCAACAGATGTGCTTGGATGCTACCACTTACCCAGAAACGGTATTTCAGTTGTTAAGGCCTCCCATAGTGACAGAGACCCTATATGGCTACTAAACATGGCTCCGTTGAAGTTGGGCAAAAAAGATCCCTGGGTTAATTTGGGAGACCAAGAAAAATAAGAATCTGTAGAATTTTATTTTTTGTTTTACATATACAACTCTGGTGTAATACAGATGGAAAAATTGTGAGGCTGCTGTCAAGCTGTTGAAAACAGTTTGCCCACCCAGATGGGCCCTGATTTGAAAGACAGGCACACCCGGTGGTGGGTTCCCAGTAAACAGCCCTGCAGTTCTTACACCTGGCTCTGTGTACACACAGAAGGTCAGGCATAAGCCAATTAACAGCTAGTGTGACCTCCTGGCTATCTCTGGTCCATGACTGCATGCCCTCAGGAGACTCCCTCTTTCTTCTTAGAGATAAAACCATGGGGTTGCTGGAAGCCAAGAAACAAGGGAGGGATCTAACAGTAGGCTCCATTCAGTCACAGACTGTACATTTCAAAAGTCAGAGCATCTCAAAGTTTTCCGCATTTCAAAACCCTTTAAATCCTGGCAACGGAGTTATCTGATACTCTGAATCCCTGAAAACAACTGCAAGTTTGGTGTCAAAGAGAAAAATGTCAAATCAAGTCAATTTTTAGAGGAGGTTAGAATAAGATGAGAGAGAGGACCCTCAGGCCGAATGTCACTAGGGTCCTGTGGCTATCTTATCCTAAACACTGAAGACATTCCCGTGTGTCATACAGTCCCATTGTCTTTCCATAGATCAAGCTCTGCACATAGAAAGTGCTGGTCCTTTTTTAGGGTATGGTTTGCACAGTTCTCTCTTTGCTGCGATCTCCTTCCCCAGGACCTCATGCTGGACTTCTACTGTCAGGCCTACCCCGTGACCTTTTCTTTGGAAAGAGGCTGGGTGGAAACATATACATACGTATTTTGCCTATGAGTTTTGATCTTTAGGACTATTCTACAAGATTTTATTCAGAAAGTTGAAAAAACTCTCTCAAGCAGTTACTAGTTGCTTAGACATCTGAACTTTAGCATTTCTTAAAACTAAAAGGGCTAGCGAGGGGGGAGATGAGTGGAGGGAGGGTGATTGGCGGGATCATGTCTATGGCTTATCTTATGGGGGTACATGCGAGTCTTTTTAAATATAGAATATAAATGTCTTAACACAATAACTAAGAGAAAGACATGAAGGCTATATTAACCAGTTGGATGAAAGTATTTCAAACTGTATACAGAAACAACACACTGTACCCCATGATAGAATTAATGTACACAGCTATGATTTAATAAAAAACAAAACAAAATTAAAAGGGCTTCCTCATGGTAGTATTTTAGGTATTCAAAAGGAACAAGAGGGGCATTACTTCTCAGAAAAATGGCCTACCTGACATTTATAAGTAATTTCCTTAGACCAATATTAAGTAAAATGAAATAATAACATCAAAGAATATCAGAGATATTGAAATGCCTTGACCAGCAGCAAAGAGACTGTGTGTGTCCTGCCTCATCTGTTGTGTCCTTCTCCTTGGGGAGCTGAGCATGTGGCCGCCTGAATCCAGGCTACATGTTCCCGCCACCCTATAGCCAGACACGGTCATATTAACCTTTGTTCTATTTAGCCAATGGGAGGTAAACAGAGGCTGTGTGAGTTCTTCTCCCCTTTCCCCTTAAGTTCTGTCATGACAGGTGGAGGCGGTGCCATCTTGGACCATGAGTTGGAAGCTCTCAGGTGTGCTCAAGGATAGAAGAACAACAAGCCCGGGTCTCTGAGACGTGGCGGTGCAGACTGGCTGACTTCTACACACGTCTTTATGTGTGCGCCGAATGGAGGGCCATCTCTGGATAGGTCGCTTTTGCTTTGGATTTTGTGATACCTCAGCCAAACCTACTCTACACTGATAGACCAGAAGTCTAGAAAATTGTTAGCTTAGCAGTGGCTTGATGAAGAGGGCAGGATGGGTAATGGGCATGGGCTGATTCTAAATCTAAGAGAGAAAACACTTTAAACATTTTCTACCGAAAGTTTCCAAATGCTGACACACACATACCATGTTTCCCCCCAAATAAGACCTACCCCAAAATTAAGCCCTAGTAGGATTTCTATGCAATTGTTAAATATAAGCCCTACCCCAATAATAAGACCTAGTGATGGGCGTGGCTATGCAGTGTATCCAAAGTCAAATGTGTTTGGTTTTTTCCTCCCAGTACACACATACACAAATTTTTCATGGTTCAATTCTCCCACTCTTTACCCATCGCCAGCCAAGAACAATGTGGATTAAATAATTAGCAAATATATGTGGATATCAGGATTATGTGGGGAAGCTTTTAAGTGTCTTGGGCCACATATCTTAGAAATCAAAATCTTCAGGAGAGGAAACCAGGAATCTGGATTTATGGAAAGCTCTGACATGCCATGTATTTTGGTCTGGAGAGGAAGACACCCCTTGAAAATAAGCCCTAGTGTGTCTTCTTGAGAAAAAATAAACATAAGACAATGTCTTATTTTCAGGAAAACATGGGTAGCTGCATCAGAATTACTCTGGCAGAGCTTTCCATAAATCCAGATTCCTGGTTTCCTCTCCTGGAGATTTTGATTATGTAGCCCAAGACACTTAAAAGCTTCCCACGTAATCCTGATACCTAGATATATTTGTTAATTATTTGATCCACATTGTTCTTGGTCTTATTATCGGGGTAGAGTCTCCTGAATATCTGGTGTGGCCTAACAGACCATTCTTTCCAAACCAACGTCAGTCAGACAAACCTACAGTGACACAATTGCATGTGGTTATATTGCACCTGGCAAGTGTTTTGTATTTTTTGTTTTTTTGCATCTTACATTTTCCGTGGGAAGTTTAGTCTACTCCAATGTGTATGTTACTACATCTTAATGAGTCATAAGTGTATTTGCCACAAAAAGAACCATCCTTAAAGTACAGAAAGAATACACTTTAAAGATTCCAGGGCCTCACACCTCAGAAGTTGGGCTTTTTGGTCCTTGCAAAGATCTGCAAGGTCAGCAGATTCAGTTAAACAGCTGTCGGCCGAAGTTGGCCTCATAGCACTTGGGCGTACCAGTGTCCCCAGCCTGGCTGCAAAGGTGACAGGCAAATTAAAGACTGTGGCAGGTGTGAGTCATTCCCATAGCAGTGAACAGAAGTGGGATTATACCAAGCAGCACGTCTGCACCCAAGAAATTTCCTTTCAAGATCCACCCTGGTGATGACACGTGCAGGCTGGGGAGCTCGGTGCTCCTGCCTTCTGGGATGGCAGAGAGAAAAGAGCCTCTGTCAGTCACAGGGCTGTTCACAGCTCTCAGCAAAAGTAAACTAAAATAGCACCAAAGATACATTTTAAGACAAAATTTGAAACTGAATGCCGAGGATTCCAAAGATTCTAACTTGATTTGATCACTAAATAACCCAGCCTGAATCAGGGTATGTCAAACAGATTTCTGTTTTTATATTTTGTCTTGTGCAGAGTCAATGAGTTGAACTTGAGGAATAATGAAATTACTTCTAAAAGTTGCACAATTTCATACTCTTTACTTAATAGCTGATTCTGTTTTCTGTAGGCGGATTAAGAGAAATCTCTTTATCGATTATGTATTTGATTTTATTTTCAAAAGATAAAAATCCTAAATTCTAATATGTACTTCTTATATAAAATCATCGGAGAGACGCACACGTCTTCAGAACCTGAATTTCTGCCAATGTTCTCAGTCACCTAATCCCCATAAACTCTGAT